AGGGAGGGAGGGAGGGAGGGAGGGAGGGCATGTGCTGGACGATCAAGTCACATTATCTATCTGAGAATCTTTCTAATTGTCACAACCACACTTGGATTAAAGCAATTTCCATGGCAATTATAGTTTTATCATCTGATTACATGGCTTTTGGCTTTTTGTATTTTAATAAGTGTTGTTAAGTAAGTCTGGCCTCAAATGAAATGGAGTCATATCAGCCACCAGGATATGATAAGGGTGATGGATGATGAGCACAGCCTAAGACATGCAAATACTTATTCATACACACAGAGATACTTAAATGAACAGCACTTTTTGATCATCACATTCAATAATAAAGTCTCCAAATGAGTCTGTGATTCTTATTTAGATTTACTTCAGTGTCATGACTGAACTGTTTTCCACCTAAATACAAACTGGAAATGTTAATGGAACAGATTTTATATTGACCTGAAGGTATTCAAATAGATTGTGTAACTAAAATGTCCAAATTTATTTCAGTAAAAGTACAGACAAACTGCAAAATGCCATATCATATGTAAAAATACTGATTGATAAAGCAGCACTTTACGTAATGTTGTAGCTGGTGAATGGAGGATATAATTTTAGCTACTTTATATACTGTTGAGTGGTTTAATCTATGTAAAACAATACATTAGCAATAACTATAACAACAGCAAGTATAGCTGTTAAATAAATGTAATGGTGTAAAAAGTACAATATTTCCCTCTGTTCCCCAGTATTTTGAAACAGTATGTGTCCATAGCGTTGAAGGAGTTAACTACTTGCTGAGGTGTTGTCTCCCACCTCTCTCCACGTCATAACAACCAACACTCCCATGTCTATAATGACAGCTTTTGTTCCTCTAAAAGCTTTTTCTCTTTAATTATTCTACAAACTTCTCACAGATAAGAACCTTCCTAACAGCTCCAGCGTGGAAGTGGAAGTGACACCACCCATGAATGGAACGGCAGGGCAAGAGGGGGAAACGGTAAGAAATGCACAGTATGCACGCGTACACAAAAAAACAGTTTATACTAATTTCAACGCCAGCTAACTGGGTTGTGTTATGAAAAGGCAACAAAGAGACAGATATCAAAGTTGGAGAGACATTTATGAATATTTAATGCCTCTCATCTGTGTCTGTGTTCCACCTTGAGTGTGATTGATGCAAAGGTTGCACCGACTATGGCACAGGTCACTACTGCTGATAATTTCCCAGCATGCACTCGGGCGAGTTCCTCCATCTTCAGCCAGACCTGCCAAAGACCCGCCTCATCCCACTGAGTTCTGTAATCACACTCCTCACTCACCCGCTGCTCCCCGCCGCTGGGTGCTCGAAATGAACACACTCGCACACGTGCCTCAACACACGCGCACGCACACACTCAGTCCTTTGACGTACGGCCAGGCGCCGAGAATGGCACCTGCAGCAGCAGTTGTGCTGGCGTGAGCGATGGCTGTGGGACGCAGCAACCCGCCAGGCCAGCAGACGGTCCTGGGGCAGGTGGGCAGCAATTCAAAGTCGCACACTTAGAGGGGAAGCAGGCAGAGGAGACGGGTGTGTCTGTCATCCTGCTGGATTCTCACTTGGTATATTGCCACGACCAAGAGTAACCCCAAGACAAACTTAATCCTGCTACCATTGTATTTTCAACTTGCTCTTGGGGGCTGAAATATTTTTATTCAGATATTGTATGACAGTGAACAAATAATTTAATACAAGCTGCAAAACATTATACTGTAAAATACACATTGATGGTTTTTCAAGTTATAATCCTAAAGGTATAAATTTAGGTTGATCTGATGACTCCTGTGGTTAATGGTGTTAATGGCAAGAACATCTTAATGATACAGTCCCAGAGTTCTGTTGCAATTGACATTATTATCAATTACTGGGGGCAGAAAACACGCTTTGACTAGAAATACAACAGAAGAAAATGAGCAACTCATGCAACTTGTGTCGTATAAACATTCTAAATAGCTGTAGCTAGACTTATAATCAGCAAAACAACAAAATAAGCTTTCTAATCAATTTTCCTTTTCAATGGACTGGCTGTTCTCTTGTTCCAGATTTCTCATTGCATCACAAATCCAATATTATGAATTTTGTCCAGTTTGTGCATTCATTAAGTCCACTGTGCACATCATTTGAATCCAGCGTGAGAATGGCGGGCTCCGCCACTGACCATGCATACTGCTATACAAAGAGCTAACTTAAGTGTGAAAATACATTTAAAGGCTTTAGCTGGAAAAATGCTAGCCAACAGTATCAAAAACCTATTACCTCAGTTCAAAATGATTTCTCTATCTCTTATATAATTGTTTTCATATCTAAGCTCTACACACACCTACATTTTCCTATTTTCTTCTCAAGGACTAAAACTAATTTCATAGGCTATTCTCTGGGTTAATCTGATGCAGTTTACCTTGATTCAAGCTACTAACCCACTATATTAATCTTTTTTTTTTCTCAACTGATCTTGTATTGCAAGGATTTGTAAAGGGCTTTGTAGATGTCATGTGTCATATGACAGTAGCTTTGCACACATACAAAGGTCTCCGCAAAACAATAGGGATTTTAATTTTGCACGTATCAGCCTTTGAATCAAACACCAGTCTTTAAATAACACTGCTGTAGTGTACTGAATTGTAGGAACTGAATGAATCTTAAAACATAGGATCTTTCTGCACCTAAAATAGACACTGTAGCACTTTAGCATCGAGCATGCCTCGGTTAGATACAGTCTATTAATACAACCTTGTGTGGAGCATATAGGAGGTTCTCAGAATAGACTGCACAGAAACTGCTAAAGATGAGCCCTGATTCGCAACATGGCTATCTGTGTATTGATCTATTCCACTGCACCAAGTTGTTTTCTGATCTCTCACTCTTGGGTTAATAATAGTCTTTACTGATGAAACTGTCATCACTGTCCTGAAGCCGAAAATATTTGCATCTAAAAAAAAATAAAAAATAGAGGCAATGCAGCCAGCTCGAGGCAATTTTTAGACTCACCTCAGACCTTAACTTTTTGAGGTGAAGGCAGAAAATCCAATAAATGGAATATGGAAGCACCTTTTTCAGGTAGTGATTGCAGAATTTAAAAAAGCTGGACTGTTATTGGCATATCTCACATGCTGCTATTTTTAGAGGTCTGTCCCTTGGTGCACCTGTCTGTGTCAGCTAGGAAGTAGCTGGAAACGGCTCACACCTTTATATGACGCCAGAGGCCCCGTCATACTAATTGTTCAGTTCCTCCCGGATGCCCTTATAACCAGGATTGGGGGATAAGGAGATAGTTAAGGTCAAATTAAAATCTGCAGCGGAGTTACAGCACAATTTCCTGGCTCCCTTTCTATTATTTGTTAAAAAAAAGAAATGATCAAATACTGCAATATTTTCCCAAACAGCAGAAATTAAAGGATTTATTTTTCATCAAAACAATATTGTACAGTGTATAAGTGTAGTGTACAGTCAAGTTTAAAGAGATGAAGATGAAGTATGGGCACATTCAGGGTATGACTCACAGCAAATTGTCTCTCTGTAAAAAATATATTCAGGATTTCCTACTCTAGGCACACATTTTGAATATGTATAAGTGGGTAAAGCTCCTGTAATAACATACTGAGAAACTAAAGAACCATAACCGACAGGAATTTATGACTCATCCTACTTCCTGTATCACAACTAAAACGATTTGAAATAAAACCCTGTGTGTATCATGGGTTTCAGGACAGAAGTGACATCAAATTTGAATATGTGTTTGCTTTTCTTTTTGCTAAATAGTATGAGAACAAAGAATTTCATATCCAGATGGAGCCTCTGCGTAAAAAAAACGAAAAAAAACCCACAAACAAAATAGCAGATGCCAATATTCACGCCATGGCAGCTGTTATAGTGACGAGTTATGCATCAAAAAGATGAATCCTCTGTGTGACACTTTTAATGTGACACTTCATTCAATTATCAAACTATTAAAATAAATTAATTTAGTTTCTGAAGAAAAGTTTTAAAATAAATGACATGCTGAAAATGGAGAAATGTAAAGGTTCAGTGTGTAACATTTAGTAGCAATGGAATTTGATACAGGATATGTTTTCATTAGTGTGTAATTACCTGAAAATAAGAATTGTGTTTTTGTTACCTTAGAATGAGCCATTTTTATTTATAGAACACAAGCTCTAGATAAGACCTTATGCCTTTTTTGCGCATTTCGCTGCCAGCGTAGTTTCTCATCCACACTTGGAAGGGGAGGGTATAGTAACGGAGTTGCAATCTGCAGCTACATCACTAGATTAAATCCTTTTCTTCCCCAAAACACGTAGAAAGATCTAACTTGTAAGTATGTGTGTTACTGAGCACTGCTTTCTATATTGAGAACGGATATTAGGCACGTTCCCAAAAAGATAAAAGTCATTTTGATAGAAGACTGCACTCATTCCATGATACTTAAATTAAGATCAATAAAGTCATGTAAATGATGTAGCCTTATTGCAGCTATGCTTACAATAAGTGTTTGAACGCACAAAAAGTGTAAACGTTGCCTCACACACACACACCAGGTGCCAGCGCACAGGCTTCCCTCCGGGAAGAAAAAAAATAGCAAATGTCACGCCTCCCCTTGCAGCTCTGTGGTGCCTGGTAAAAGTCAGTGCCTTTAAGCTCGGAGTTGGCAGTGTTGCCAACTGAGGCACCATAGGGCAGGAAAGGCCCCCAAGGGGCTGGCATTTGGAGTCCAACTCAGAGAAGGGAGCACCAGCTCTATGGGGTACTTTAGCAGAGAAAGAAAGTGAAGCAAATCATAAATAGACTCATAGTGTGCAGTATCAGACAGAAATAGTCACCTGAATGCAGTCAACCTATACACTGAAGAGCCGCAGGGCAGACTGCAGTGCAGTATAATGCAACTATTCCTTCTTGAACATGAGAAGAAGCTGTTGTTGCTATTATTCTGCATTAAAGAAACAACAGTCAATACATAATAACACTAATGAAAACCTCACATATCTTGATATCTATGGTCAGAATCGATCTTCCTAAAGCCTCAGGTTTTTGGTTTTAGGCCTTTTAACAAACAACAATGCAGCCATCTGGATGTGGAGAGGAGGAGAAATCAGAATGCTGAGCATAAGTGATGCAAACGCTGCCTTTTGTTTGGCAGCTCTGATTACCAAGGTTACCAGGCAATACTCAAAAGCAGTAGCTGTCACAGCAGGATAAGCTCCATATGATTCATGATTTGTGCACTAGCCAGCTTTAAATATGTCTGCTTTACTCTCTGGGCATGCTTTGCTGATGTGATTGAAGTTGTGAAGACTTAAATGATTTTCTTGAGGTGAGATTGTTATTTACTGAGCAACATCTGCTATCAACATCTGCCCTGCTCTATGTTTTGTCTTCCCAGTCTATTTCTTCTAACTCTTTCTTTCTTTCTTTCTACTTTCTGCCTGTTTTTTTTTTATTTTACATCTTGGTTAACGTCACTCTCGAAAGGGCAAGAGAGAAAAATTCTAGGTCATCAGTGTGTTCTTCTCGTATCTGCATGTGTGGACCTGTTGTCTGTAGGTCCCCACGGCTCCGTAGCATCCTGTATAATTGGATACAAAGGGACCCAAGACGTCTTTCCACTCTCAGGAGGCTTTGTTGTTGTATCATTAAAGTTTACGTACCAAAATGTTTAATTGAAAGTATGCTTTTGCAAGAAAGCAGAAAAGCTGAACAGGTAAGGTTAATGCTCTAGATGAAAATATCATTTCATCTAGAGCACTGGTCCCTTTAGAATGTGTCATCTTCAGGCAGTGACAGCTTATTTGATGCTGATCTGCAGAGAGGTGACAGTCTTTGGCTCACTTGGCATTCCAGTGGCAGGTCCAATCAGACCCTCGGGGTCTGCCAGTGCAGCCAGCGTCAGCAGTCAGCAGTGATGAGCCCCTGATGACTGGAGAGGCAGAGCCCTTCAGGCTCGGTGCAATCTCCCAAATCACAGTCATCAGACTCCTCTGTCTTAAGGTCACCATAGAGTAAAGGCACGTGCACATCCACCTCCTGCCATCAATTTCTGCAGACCTCTTTCCTCTCTCGAAGTGCTTGTGTTGCAAGAGTGCTGCCTGCCTCTCTGGATAGTTGCTATGGAGAGGTGTATCCCAATGAGACAAGTTATCAAGCTAAAGGAGACACTTGGATTGTAATGAGTTTTTCCCCCTCATCCCTTTAGGAAAATGTAGAAAAGCATGACTCAACTCAATGTGCTATTTGCCTCATATTTATCTGATATTTACTCCCAGATGGTACATTAAACACCAAATGATTACACTATATGTTATGTGGGCACCCAAACATGACACCCTTATGTGAAAGCACAAGACCAGAAACAGTAAACACACTGCATGTTTTAAGCCCGTTCTCATGACTGTTAATTTGATCTCTTTCTATTCTTTGGTGTCTCCTCTTAGGCTGAGGATGAGGAGGAGGAGGACCAGCCTCTGAGCCTGTCCTGGCCTGAGTCCACTCGCAAGCGCCTCACCTACCTCTTAATCATACCTATTGTCCTGCCCCTGTGGATAACGCTGCCTGACGTCAGGAAATCGGTGTGTGAGGCAGAGTCTGAAACAAGAACGTCATCAAAGTGTGACAGGGTTCGAGTTACGTGGGAGCCAGTGGGATCTTTTTAAAAAAAAGATTTTAAATAGAACAGAGTAACGAGTATTATGTCAGTTAACATAACATTAACATTACATAACGCTAACTACTACTGTATTGGAATCTGTATTGACTGCTTGCTTTGTATTGGATATCATCCCATTAGTGGTGCACTACATTACACAGCCCATCTTTCATGTGATACCAAAAAGGGCAGAATTGCATCCTTTGATGGGTCTCGGTTGGCATATATTGAACCTTTGTTGCAGTATCGACGACCTGTTTCTGGTTTTTGCTGCTCTCTCATGGAAAGCACACCCATTAGGCTATTATTCTATCCCCCCAATGTTAGTTAAACCCCCACAAAGCTCCGATTATAACTCGAACCCTGACGTGTGGAGTCCTTATTCAGTAAATTCACTATTTGCTCTCTTTTTCTTTGTCTTTCAGGCATCAAAGAAGTTCTTCCCCGTCACCTTCCTGGGTTCCATCGGTTGGATAGCATGCTTCTCCTACCTGATGGTGTGGTGGGCTCACCAGGTACACAGTTCTCAAAGACTCCCCAGGACATGAGATTGTTAAAAAAAAAATTGGGTGTTATGTGATCACGACAGCAGTCACAGAACTTTATAAAATCCTAACATAAGTATAATCCCTGTCAAAAAACAAAGGCAAGATGCAGTCGTCTTTTCTTTCCATTCGACATCCTTTAAACATTGACATTTACAATGAAACCATATTCTATAATCCTCCCACTCATAAATTATTACAGCTGTCTTATTCAAAACAAAGAGACTGTCAGAGCTAGAGTTTTGTCAGCTCCATCACTTCCCGAGCATCACGAGGAAATTAAAAATAGCTGGAACAAAAGATTAGGTTTTATTTACCCCTAAGCTTAGTTTTCGATTTTTTCTTTTTTGCAGGTTGGAGAGACCATTGGGATTACAGAGGAGATTATGGGCCTGACTATATTAGCAGCTGGAACCTCCATCCCTGACCTCATCACCAGTGTTATTGTGGCACGCAAAGGGCTGGGTGATATGGCTGTATCCAGCTCCGTGGGCTCCAACATCTTCGACATTACTGTTGGGTACGCCATCTGAGTCTGATTTGAGCCTGTGCAGGGTCTTGCTGTTTTGTATTATGTATTTATCATGTTTGGGAACTGAGACAGAGCAATACTGCGTCTATTCTGAGAACAGGTCGAGCGTCACTCGAACAGGCAAAGGGGTTGTAGATTAATAGTGTTATAACTCATCTGGTAATACTGTAAATCCTGAGACGTCTTACATTTATATCAAGGTATCTAATGGAAGTAAAGCAATTTATGCTTCATTATCCCCCCAAAATAATAAGTTGTGCGCAACATAAAGCTGATAACATATGAAATCAAGAAGTGTTTTACTTAACTTCTGTGTTTGCTGTATCATGACAGTAGTAGAAATAAGAAATGATCTGAAGATGATGAAGGTATTTTAATTAGAATCAACCAAACTGCAGCAGCGAGGCTCACCGCAGGCAGACACCCAGGGATAGTATCCACTGGCTAACAGGCTAACAAGCACTGAGTTGACTGCCTGTTATCTAGTGAGACTCGAAGCCCGGAAGAGGTCTCTTTGATATCCTTTGCCATACGGTAGTACTGAACAGTCTCAGCAGTGCAGCGCATACATCTACAGTAAGCCCTGAAGGGAAAACAAGATTCAGTCTGTTGCAAAATGGTGAGTTTAAACACTGTTCAAGGCTGTAATACTTCTGTTTGGATCGCTGGCAGTTAGTTGCTAACATATAAAAGCACAGAAGGCGGGTGAAAGTGAGAGCTTTTGTCAGTGTCGGACTTAGATTGGGAGCATATGGCTATTTCCTGGAGCGCTGCCACTGTATAACAACACCCAGCAGTGATGTCACAGTGTACTACACACCCTGGAGTTCCACACCTTTACACCTCGTTTTATACGTCAGATGATAGCTGATCACACCCACCTAATCAGGCTGTATTGTGCTTTAATTATATATCCCACAGTAGGCGTGTTCTTTCGTTTACCATCATATAACGACAGCATAGATTTGTTGGCTACGTGTGCAGGCTCTGAAGCTCTGCTGTAACCCCTTAACGCACAATTATAAAGCAAGGTGAGAAATCAAACTGTGGGTCAGCAAAAACAAGATTTTCAGCTGCAGCCAAGTTGCTCTTTAATTTTGTTTTATTTGAGTTACAGATTATGTGTCATATTATCTATATATACATTACATTATGCTCTGCTGAGTGTGGGTAAAATGATATCAACAGGAAAAAATGTCTCAAAAATGCCTTGCCTTGCCTTACAAACTTGCTTTTACACTTTCTTTTTAATTGTCTTTCAGGTGCATTTGTGAAAGGGTCCAGCATGTAACATGTGTTTGTGTATTTGCAGACTGCCGTTCCCCTGGCTCATGTGGTCCTTTTTCAACGGCCTGCAACCGGTGCCAGTCAGCTCCAACGGCCTCTTCTGTGCCATCGTGCTCCTCTTCCTCATGCTCCTCTTCGTCATCATCTCCATCGCCGCCTGCAAGTGGCGCATGAGCAAGCTGCTCGGCTCCATCATGTTCATGCTGTATTTAGTCTTCCTGGTGGTCAGCGTCATGCTGGAGGACAGGGTCATCCAGTGTCCGGTGTCCATCTGAGGGACCTCCGAGGACCTACTTCCTCTCCTTCGTCACTACCACCACCAACACAACCATCCTTCTTCGTCTGCCATCGCTCTCACTTGACCCTTGTGATCCTTTACCCCAGGACTAAAAGAAGAATAACGAGGACTGAAGAAGAGAATAATATAAAAAATATGGAATCTACCTATATTTTCAGTAAGCAGGTGGTGGCGGGGAGGGATTAAACCAACAAGGGCACAAGACTTTGGCTTGGCTGGTTTAGCATAGGCCTAACCTGAGTGGATTTTTATTTATTATTATTATTATTATTATTATTATTATTATTATTATTAATTGGCAGGTGAGGGGGGGTTATGGGTGCACCAGCCAAATATAGAAGCATTATGCATGCCATTAGTGTCACTAGATGAGCTGGAATCAAGACTCCACCTGGTAGGTTGAGGAGAATGTCCTCCTGTGAACTTTGGGGAAAAAAACAAGAGACGCACTGTATAAAACTCTCAATAATAAATGCAGTGGCTGAGCTGAAATTGTGAGCATATTTGAACACACGCACACACACACACACACTAGTTTAACAGACTAAGACGCTGTCACCAAGAGTGAGTTTGTGGATGAGGAAATGGCAGACTGTGTGGATGAAGATTTCGTGCCGAACGTGTTTCCTGTTCAATGGTATTGAGCGAAAAAGACTCTCCTGCAAGCTTTGCACCTGAGCAACAAGGGATGAAACACTCTTGCTGGGCAGGCGAACTTCTTCTTTGTTATTTCTTATTTGCAAATTCATCATGTGCTCAGTCTGAATGACAAGTTTAAGCTTCCCCTCTTCCCTGCCGGATGTCATTTTTCACCACTGAATGTCTCCTCAGAGGATTCTTTTTTTTTTTTTTTTTTTGGATTCATGAAATATATAGTAAGTAGCATTAGATGTACTGTAGCAGTATTAGTTCATGTAGAGTCATCTTGACAATCTTTTTCTTTTTGCCACTGAACACCACGTTATGATTGTACAGATCTTTTCATGCTTCACACGCACCGACTGACAAAGGAAAGAAAAAATAAGCCTAACTGAAGTTTAGCCTCTCAAAATATATGCTAGCCTTCAATATCTTTCACTGGTTGGAAAAAAAGGCATTAGTACTATGTCAAAATAATACATTTTGAAAAGAACAGTGTTTAAGTGTCATGGTTGAATTAGATTAGTCAATGTGTAGTGCTTTGTTCACAGTAGAACTGGGCTCAAATCACCGGCTAGTCAAGCTCCTGGGGTAGTAGTTTTAAGGAGTCAACTGCATGTACAAATAGACACTCGGAGGTGAATAATACCAATCAACATTTAAGAAGTTGTATACCAAAATGTATACTTTTTCAAACATGTTTCATAACTTCTTAATGCAAACCACTGCTCAGTCTCTATGTAGAAAATGTCAACATGTATGGTCAATGATATCTATCAAACTTGTGCAATTTCTTTTCTAATCAAAGGTGCTTTTGTGTGCATGTGTGCAATCTGCATTTGAAGTCATCACACAATGACCATTCCTTATATTTATCTATGACTAGAGGTATACTACCAGTATTTTGCAACTAACTGCAAAAAAAGAATACACCAATCTGTGTTTTATACTGGAAATAGAAATCATAATCACACTCTCTCTTTAGGCTACATAGAATGTGGAAATCACAGATTTAACAGCAATATACCGTGTGTGTCGTCGTTGAGAATTGCATACCTCCCCCTCCCCCCACCATGCGTCTGTCTCCCGCTGTCCTTCCTGTCCGACGTGCTCCGAAAAACCCACCAAGGAAAAAGTGGTACATCTTTGCTCTTTCCGCAAACCCCTTCCTGTTAGAGCTGGCCAGAAACACCCGCTTTACCTCAGCACAGCCTCTGTACAGCAGCTTAGTAGGAATTCACTGTAAAAATAGTAAATAGATTATCTGAATGTGTGAGGAAAAATGCATGCAAGGAATTTGGGCTGGTTACCCACTGACTGTACAGCTGAGCTTAGACCAACTATATATGTTCACTTTTATGCATCCATTCAGAGAGAAACACCAAGAACTCATTGGTTTTACTTTGTAAATATGAACACCTGTTTTTTTTTTTTGTTATTTTGCAAGAACCAAATGGTTCACACATGTATTTTATTCACTTTTATTTATTTTCTTTTTTGTAATAGTGGATGGGAAAGGACAATTATGGTGGCCCTTTAGTGTCATAGTATTACTGAGCAAAAAACAACACAAGAGCATTTATTTTTAGACTACTCAACATCTCATTAGCATACATGACACTGTAAACAAGCCTGTTCTGCTATGAAAACGAGGGCTTTAAATACCATATTGCTCCGACAAATTCAACAACAGCAGGATTTGAACACCATGTTTTCTTTGGCATTTGGCAAAGGCCACAAATGCGCAGGAAAAAGAGCATCAACCAAACTCATATGTTAAACTGTTATGTGTGGTCTGCTCTCGTGCAGTATATTTCCTTGAGCATTTCTACAACCCAGATTCAAAGAGTCAATTTAAGGCCTCTGTGATGACTCATGTAGCCTACTTTGTGAAATTCTCCTGTGCACATTTTCCATTAAACTCTTCCCTCCGAGTGCCCACACTCTCTTGTGATCACACCTCACCTCTAGTTTCTACTCGCCCCTCTGTTTCAAAGAATAGTTTGACATTTTGGAAAAGGGCACTTTTTTGCTTTCTTGCCAAGTTATATGTGAGAAGATGGACGCCACTTTCGTGTCAGTGCAGTAAATACGACACTAGAGCCAGCACACAGTTAGCTTAGCTTAGCACAAAAACGTGAAACTAGCTAGCCTGGCTCTGTCCAAAGGTAACCAAATTCACCTACCAACACCTTTAAAGCTTTATATGTTAAATCTGTACAAAAACAGTACAAGTGTAAAAACAGGAAGTAGAGATTTTATGGGGGGTGCAGGGTAAGCTAGCTAGCTGTTTCCAGTTTTTGTGCTAAGTTAGGCTAAAGGTTTCATAGCTTAGCATACAGGCGAAAGTAGTATCAATGTTTTTGTCTAACTCGCGGTAAGAAAGCATTTCCCAAAATTCCTACAGGTCAAGAGGTCATTTGCCTGAGTTTGGTTGACCTTCTACCACTACAGTCGCACTGTACCCCTGCACTTCCATTCCCCAAACCCCTCTTGTCAAGACAACTATTTCTTCTTTCTTTCTCCACAGCTCTCATTGGGTTTTTGTGTGCGAGCATGAATGGAGAGAGGAAAAACAAAAAGAATAAAATCCAAAGGCAAAACCGGTTTAGCATGTGAGCTTGGCATCGGTTGTGGTTTACCAGGGTAAACGAACCGTGAGAGTTAACCACTAATGAACATTCTTGCACTGTAAATGTTTATTTTCTTGGTGTTGATGTAAGATTTATTTAAGGTGTACATATATACAGATACAAATTAACCATATAATCTATATGTGTAAAAGAAATATGTCTCTTTATGTAAAAACACAAAGTATATAATAAAACAAATAAAGATGATAATTCAAATATGCAACAATGTGTTTGCTGGTTTTACATTACTGTCGGTGCTATATACTGTCAATGGCTTATTACTTAGTAGCATTAAATAAGTAATAAATGCTTTATTAGTGTTTATTACTGTATTAATGTATCTATCACAATTATCACTAATTTGTCAATTTGTGTTATCATATGATATATAATAATATAAATATATATAAGATTATATGATTATAGTTAGGTCATACTGTGTGAAATGTGAAATTGTTTTCCAAGTAGGAGTTATACTGGTACTATACTATCGATAATAAATGTCAACAACAACATTATAGCATATGATTATGTACCAGATTTGGTAAATTAAGTCCTTTGCACAACTTGTGCATAACAGTAGTAGACAAGTTGTGCTTGCATAGAAAACCTTTTAGTTTAGAGGCTTCCTGTAAGACTTTTACGAGTTTGTTTGAATTAACAAGGCACTCCAGTAATTTTAAGTTCAGTTTTGCTCTTTTATTACTCAGTCTGTGAAAACATGTCCTCTGTGGCTCTGAAGGAACTTTATGAAGTTTGAAAAAATAATAAATTAATAGAGAAGTTGGAAAGAAGTCGATGTTTCAGAGACAGTGGGATCTAATGAAAGAGTTGCATTATGGGAATTGTGGAACTAGTGTTTTTGGAGCTTGATACGTACTACAGTATGAAAGTCCAATCTTAGTCCCCAAACTTTATGGAAGTGTAATGCTAAATATCTCAAGTACCCCTGCTGCATCTACAGCAGCATTTAAAGGTGTTGTGTGTAAAATCTGGGAGGATCTATTATCAGAAATAGAATATAATCTTCATTGGTATGTTTTCATTAGTGTATAATCACCTGAATATAAGAATTGCTGTTTTTGTTACCTTAAATGGGGCTTTTATATCTACAGACACCACGGGTCGCCTTCCATGGAGGCCGCCATGTTGAACTGCCATATTTCTACACTAGCCCAGAACAGACTAACCAAAATGGCTTTGGCTTGGCTTTAGACAGGTCCGTTCATGTTTTCACGCATTTCGTGGCCCCCGTAGTTTCTCCTTGGTGCTAGGAAAGGGAGGGTAAAGCGAGTGAGTGAGCAATCTGCAGCTGCAACTACACTGCTAGATGCCACTAAATCCTACACACTGGTCCTTTAATGGCATAGAATATTGTTCAGATTACTAGTAATGACCCATAATACTTGACAACACATAAACCCACACATATGCGATTCTGAGCATCTTTTAAATGCATTAAAAAATCAGTCAAAAATGTGTCTCAGGATGGACATTTTCCATAGGAAATACTCTACCCTGCAGGTGTCAATTGAATACACCCCATTGTTTTGTCAACCTATAAGCTTCTTTGATTTCTCCATTGTCTGCCTTCGCCTTCAGTTCTCACAGAGTTTTATGAAAATCAAGTCAACTTTGTATGAATACTTCAAAAAAGGAGCTTTCCCCAAACTCAGCTGTAATGGAAAAAAGGGGTTTTGAATGGAGGTAGCTTCAATGATGATCTCAAATGGCAATCAGCGCTGTAAAATGGAAGAAATACACTGTGTTTTATCATTGTACAAGAGCAGTGATTAGCTTTTTTTCACTTCTCCTGTAGCTCCTTCCTGCATGTAAGGGGCCGACTTATGGAATAGGGCGCCCTCTTGTGCTCAAACACTTTAATGTTATTAAGAACAGCAATGACACAATCATAACTTTGATGCATTCCTGATAGTCTACCCAAATTGTCCTCTGGCAGTTTAAAAGGTTTCTACCGAATTATATCACTTTTGTCTTTCCATAGAACGGTTTTTTCCCCCATGTTCCTCTACATTTATATTTTTAGTCCTAATTGAGTGGGAATAGACACAACATGTATCTTTGTCAGCTGTGTTGGTTCCTGTAAATAAACTTTAAATGTTAAGATCTAACAAAAAAGGATTATGATGGATGACAGTTGTGAGATAGAGGTGTATAGTATTCCCAAGGTTAACAACAAGTTTATGAAAACATATGTGT